TAATTGCCGCGATGATGGATGCGCGCGGTGACCCAGTGACATGTGGTTGATTCCAGAAATCGGTTGCCGGTATTCCCGGCGGACCCATTAAAAATTCCATGCATCCTCGAGTGAGGTTGCCGTCCAACGTAATCACGGAACCGGCGAAATTACGCTCGCGCGCCAACCACCCGATGAATCTTTCTCCTATCACGTTGCGCTCATGATTTTGATAAGTAAATTAATGGTTATTAGGAAAAAGAAACCGGATAGACAACTACGGCTTTAATGCGCGTATTCAATTTTTGATCATAATTCACATCGTACTCTCGCGTCATTCGTAAATCTCCAACCAATATTTAAACCGGTTCACTGTATCGTTGTTCGGTCAGAACACAATCACGCGTAATAAATAACGAACCAAGAAGAATTTATCGCTTCTGCACACGAAAGAAGTACAAAGTATTTTTCTTTACTTACGAGTTTACGCTAATTTGTGTTTCATTGAATGATTAACGAGGTACCACCCGTCACCGCTAAATTCGAGTATTATTAAGCGATATATCGAAGCAGACATCGTAACTTCGAACCCGTAAGAACGTAAAATATTCTGTAATTTCTGCCTGCAAGAAATTATAACGTGAATCACTAATTTGGGGATTTGCAAATTTATGAATTTAAGAATTTTTCAATTGGAAAAGTTGTAAGTTTGGGATGTAAGAAATGAACAAGTCTTCGTATTTATCTTTGTCTGAAAAGAATCCGTGTTGCACTCGAGTGCACTACTCATACGCTTTTTCCTCGAGTTAACTGGCTCGCCGCAGTCAACAGGTTAATCGTACGGTAAATTGTCTAAACTGGTCAGTGAGCGGTCACGGGTGCATAACGAAGCCCGTAATTCAGCGATCGTGAATCGAACGATCTCTCGAGGAGGCAACGTACTCGAGTGTAAAGCACTTGATCCGTGCACTCCGGTAGCGATAAGCAGGAGTGTCGGTTTCGCACGGTCGAGCGATTCTTCTTCGGAACGCGTCGTGTCGGTTTGAGAACCTCTGGGTGCAATCTTGTACCAACTGGGGTTTGCGGGGTCTTGGGAGACGCGACTTCGGTTCGTAACCTCCTCTCTAGGGGTCCTGGCTACGACGAGGGTGGAGTGAGGAATAGGGAAACAGGCGGAGCGTTGGATGGTTGAGGTGGAATACCGTGGGGTGAGTGGTAAGAAGACTACTTGGCAGAAAGGAAGGAGGAAGGAAGAGGGGGACGAGGTAGTCGATGGCTCGGGATATATCCGTAAGGTCGGCGAAGGTTCGGGTGGTATGGGTGACGGTGGTTGGGTCGAGACGAGGCGCCGTGGTGAAGGAGTCGCTCACTCACTTACCACCCTCGTGGCTCCGACCACCAACCCCAATACCACGCACACCACCGATCTCCTCTTTCCCTTCCTCTCAACAACCACCGCCACCACCGTCTCCGGCTGCACCGAGGTGCCTCTGCTGCTTCTGCCGTTGCTTGCCAACTTGCTCGCCTGCCTGCCGGCACACCGAGTCCTCCCTAACACTACAAAATCTATATATCTACGGTGTACCCAACACCCTCCTCCCCCGTCTTTCTGCCTCTCGCTCCTTTTCAGGCCACCCCTTTCAAAGCTACCGACCCCCATATTGATCGTGCCGCGAGAACCCTCTTTGCTCGAAAGCCTGCCGCTACCGCCTACGATCCCGACGAGGGCTACCTACGTGTAAGTAAACTTACGCGAATGAACCGCGTGCCCCTTCTCGTCGCTTTCCGACAGAATACGCGAGAAAAGAGGAGAAGTGAGAAATTACGAAAGGGTAGAACAGTCGCAGATACTCCGAGTGCCCCTTGGAGAACGTACAGACACGTGTAGCTTGAAAATCCGTGGAGATTTCGTATTTATAATAGTGCCCTGCTATTTACCCACCACTAGGATAGAATACAGTGACAAAGCACGAAGTTTCAACGGGGAAAACGATGCGTTCTAGGACAGGATAAAACTTTCGCGTCGAAGCAGGATGAAACGCATTGCAAGGAAAAAAGTGGTTACGGTAGAGACAATGAGTCTGGAACAATCCGTATACGGGTGGGGAAATGAAGGCTGATAAAATATGAATGAGCGAACACGAGGATCGAGTAACGCGTAGGTAGCACGAAATGATCGACTAGAAAGAGTATCGTATTGCCAAAGTGGTAGCCTCTCAGACACAGCAGTCGACTTGCCAGCCCCTCTGGTTCCCTGGAGACAGCCACGAAAGAGGAGGACCACGACATAAAAATTCTATGACGCGTCGAAAGTTTGGCAAGGACGATTCATACGGTTCCTTTTATCCCGTACCAGCCAGCCATCCCGATTCCTCGAAACTTATCTCGCGCTAACCATCTCCGTTCCGACATAAATCCAAAGATCTTCAGAGATTCCTCGCATTTTTATGATAATGCCTCGCCTTTTCGTATTCTCCTCGCGAGATATCTCTTCCGTTCTTCTTCCGAGGGAGAACGGATCGTTCTCGGAAATATCCAGTCAAACTCGTTGTTCCCCCCTCCCGTGTTTTCTTTTACCGTCGATTTATCCGAGAAAAGGAGAGCGCGTCGGGACGTGTATTCTTCGGCTCTTGTCGAGGCTTTCCTTTCCAGGAACACGACAGTTTTACCAGACCGACTCCCGTGGCTGCTGCTCGGATAAATAGTGACTGGCCATTACCAGGTAACGAGAGAGAAGTAGTTCCCCTTTTTTCTCTCTTTCCCTCTCTCTCTTCCTCTTTCCTTAGAAAAAACGAATCCCACTTCTCGTGTTCTTTCGTTCGAGAAAACTCGAGCCAGGCACGTAATACGGCTCCTCGGGGATTCCTTCCTTCCTTTGAGAAGTCGTTTGGCGCGCGCGTGTGCGTGTTTTCTTGCGTCTTTCCGGGGAATTCGCTTCCCATCCCTGTCGACTCTCTGTCCTCGCTCCTTTTTGTCGAACGAATCGTTTCATCTCGCGAGCTATCCGACCTGGAATCGACGCGAATTTTTCCATGTCCCGGGATTGTCTTCGCCGCGTGCCTTCGTCACGCCTTCTGTTCCCGTCGATAATATCTTCGAATGCCTTTCTTCTTCTATAAAGTTGATGATCTTTCCACTGCCATCAGGGTGAAAGCCATCTGTTTCGTTCGGCATATTTGAAATTGTAATCTTTGCGTTAAAGTTAACTCATTGCAACAAAATCGATGTAACATACGGATATATTCCGCTTCTATAGCATAGATAGAATGACCGAATAGCTTGATCCATTTAATAAATTACGAGCTCGGTCTTTAATCTTAACTCGGTATAGCACTTTTCCATGAGGAGATAGTAGCTTTAGTATTTATACGATATTTAACAGAAAACCCTGGTCTATAAAGTCTTGAAAGAATATCCGGTATCCTAAATCACCATAGTCGCCCTTCCATTTCCCTTCGGTCGATGCATGGTTCTCCAGACACGAGCACCTCTGGAAGGGATGATACCAAGGCGTCGGGGTAATGGACCGAGCCAGAGGTGGCAGTGGATGAGAGACGAAGGGTAATTGAGAAGAGGAGATTTACTTTGGGGTCGGGAGAGGCTGCGAGAGGGTAGTTTGCGGTGTTGCTCTGGATGGGGAAGTGCAGTTATCGGGGACAGGAAAAGGGCTCGCCTCCCGATGAAGAGGCGAGAGAGACGCCATTTGCCGTATCGTCGACAAAACTGTCGCTCGTAAAACTTCTTGTCGATCATATCTTCGACGACTTTCGGGACCTTCGTATCTTCGAGGTATTGGCAGCGGAGCGTTTTCGAGAGCGCATTTCGCTCTACTTTGCCGATCAACTGATTCGCGTTCCCGCTTATCGACCCTTTTCTATGGAGAAGAAAGTTGAAAGGGGGAGATTGCTCGAGAATTAATAGACCCGATAGCATGGTAAAAAGAAACCTATATTTACTTAGATCGTTTCTTTACCCCGGGGTTGAAAACGGATGAATTGAGAAGTTCTGTTTGTATAAATCTTCTGGAAAGTCACACATGAGACAAAACCTTTCAACTGTGGAACTTAGAACTTGTTACTTGTTACAATTGTTACTTTGTTCAATTTTTATAACAGCTATTATCTTATGTTATGAAATTGAATAAATTTCAAGCTTCTTCAGATATGAAAAAGTTTGAAAACAATTCGATAGACAGCAATTATTCTCAAAGTAAAAAGTAGAAAAGCTCCAGTATTTTTTCTATGAAGCAAACAAAATGATTTTTAAAGACACCTTTCAGTTGAGTCAACGATTTTCCTGTTATTTGCCTTGCCGCTTTTTCCCGACGACGAACGAGGTAGAATCGTAGGTGGTGGCGTAATTAAATTTCCTCTCGGCGCATCGACGGGCAAACAGGTATTTAATTTAATCGTGGGACGAAGGAACAGTTTTAACGCCTCGACGTTGTAAGTTTCGTTGCTCGACACTTGCATTATCTTAATCATGGAATATTATCGCGTTTATTCCGAAGTAAGGATTCGTCATCCATAAAACATTACGATGAAATCGTCCAGGCGAAAACGAGCTATCTACTAGCTCGGTAAGATTTCTCGCGATAAACTTTAACAACCGTTTTATAGCCTCCTATACCCTCGTTTCTGCTCTCGTCAAACAATCATCCTCTGGCAGATGCGTGTCACCTGACAACGATTACTTTTAGCCAACAGTGTTTACCGTTTCCGATAAGTGATCGATAATATCGGAAAGAATGGTTCAATAGTGAAAACGTTATCTCGAAAGTATTTGCTCCTTTTGTTTAGAGTGTACAAATGTATTTTGTAATTAATTCTGACAATTGAACGGGATTGCAAATTGTCAATATTGAAGCAAGAATTTTTAGCAAATTTATTGGAATTCCGAACTGACTATTTTGCGAGATAAAAAATTGATACGTATGACCCGCTATTCGGAAAGAGTATATAAACTTTGACAATAAATTTAAAATATCGTTCTACATTTTTCGTAATTTTCACTTGTTACAGAGAAATTCGATATCACCTGCCGAACGCGAAAAGTACAGCAGGCCACGATCACCAGACCCCCAACACCACGAACACCTAAAGAAAATGAAGAAGGAGCAGGACAAAGATATAGGCCATGTAGGTATCCCGGATGGTTATCCAAGCTTTCACATCGATGCTAATTCCTTAATAAAGCCGTACACGTTTTCCCGACAGCAAAGCGATGGTGAAAAGAGCGACCAGGACTTGGTTGTAGACGACGCCAGTGAAGGACCAACGAGTCCCGCGGCGAATGGCACCTCCTCTCCCAGAGAAAACGGCCTCGATAAACTTGGTCCATCTTCGGTGCCTTTGAGCAGCCAGGTGAAGAAAGAAGTGCCACCACCCTCGCCCAGAAGTGGAACGAGTAGCAACGCTAGCACACCTTCAGCCAAGAAGATGGAGGAACGGGAGAAACCTACCACACCCATCTCGAAACCTGTCACACCTACGTCAGCCGGTTCGTTTTATGTCTTCTTTCTTTCTTAACTTTCCGGTTCATGCAGAAATTAGCAATACGCAAAAAATTGATATATTCTGAATTTGCACGTTTACTATTTCGATTATAATTTTGAAGTGAAAATAATTTTATAATCTACCTTTGGCAGTTAAGGAAACTGGAATATAGAAGATCGTATTATAAATGGGATCTCATCAACGTCAATCGATCACGTTAATATTTATAGTGTTTCTGTCGATCATTTTGATGGGAAATACATGGGAAGTCTGATGATGAATGTATGGTCGACAGGTGGTAGCAGCTCCGGCTCTGGTGGTCTGAAACCATCGAGTTCCAGCAAACCGCTGGTCTCGGCTTCGGCGGTCGGCCCTTATCCGCCACACTATCCGCCGCCACATCATCCACCCGCAGGACCCCATGTGGACATGTTGGGTTATGCTCCTGCCCTGAATGGATATCCCGCAAGACCACCACTTCAGCAACTGTACGATCCTCATGGTACCATGAGGGCACCTCTTGGACCTCTCGGCGTACCCGGTGGCAAACCGTGAGTACCCTTTTGTTCTTCCATAATCTTTAATCTCTTACGAATAGTTATGAAACCGAGAACTTTGAGAAATCCAAGAAAAAGAAGAAGAGTTTGCATTTTGACTATCACGATGAAAATCGATATATATTTAAAAGTCTCTTCCTTCAGATAACTTTAACGAACTCGTTGATAAAATATAACGTGAATTTAATATAACGAGAGTCGCATTAAGAAATAATGATAGCAAGTGCAAAGAGGTAGCTAAGTTAAATGTGTTTGAATTGGTTTGTTTGTCAGGGCGTACAGTTTCCACGTATCGAGCGAAGGCCAGATGCAGCCGGTGCCCTTTCCACCTGATGCTCTAATTGGACAAGGAATACCGCGTCATGCGCGCCAGATAAATACTCTGACACACGGCGAGGTGGTGTGCGCGGTAACGATCTCAAATCCGACTAAATACGTTTACACCGGTGGCAAAGGATGCGTCAAGGTCTGGGACATCAATCAGGGCGGCAGCGGTAGCGCGAAACACGTTTCGCAGCTTGATTGCTTGCAACGAGACAACTACATCAGGTTGGTTGAACGTCACGCCAACACGTCGCATTAACTTTCCACTCCGTCTAGCAAACGCGACACGTACCGTTGCTGAATAAATTCTGATTAGCGCTTGTCGAGCGATATTGCGGTCTCGTTTGCCACGGCTCCACGAATCATTTCGACCTTTCGGTGCAACAACGTCTTTGACATCGGTACTTCTCTCGCTAATTAGAGGAGCTTTCGGTCTCGCGCGTGTTCAAATCGATTAGCGTCAAAAGCGACCCTGGTCTTGACTGTGTTCGAGGTTTCTCAGCAACTTCGTCAGCACATTCGATGATAACACGCTCGAGAACTTCAAACTTCGAAACCTAGACCGCACGAGTCTAAAGTCACATAGGGCGTCTTCCGAGCAGTCATTGTCACTGATCTACATCAAATCAAATCACTAATTTCCAGATCAAATCAAGGATAATTTAAAACCTGATTATCATTCATAAATCATGAGATTCACCGAAAAATGCAGTTTGTGCAATCTGTCTCTGTCTTTAACACTAAAACTACCAAACTTATAAAGTACACATTTTGTTAAAGTTCATTCCTTGAAATTAGCATTGATTTTCATCAAAACACAGAATAAATGTGTGTGCTAATTTATGTTTCGTCGTTTGTATATTTATTCTTTAACTTCATTTTTAATTTCAAAGTAAATGTACATTATATGTCGGTAGGTTTAGTGTTAAACAATAAGTCCGATAATCAACTTCAAAGTATACGAAAAAATTAATATATATTTTTTCTCGTTTGATAAACAGATCCGTGAAACTCTTGCCAGACGGTAGAACCCTGATCGTTGGCGGCGAAGCGAGTAACCTAAGCATCTGGGATCTGGCGAGTCCAACGCCGAGGATCAAAGCAGAATTGACCTCGAACGCTCCGGCGTGTTACGCATTGGCCATCTCGCCAGACTCGAAGGTCTGCTTCAGCTGCTGCAGCGACGGAAACATCGCCGTCTGGGATCTACAGAATCAGTCTTTGGTCAGGCAGTTCCAAGGGCATACGGACGGGGCGTCTTGCATTGACATCTCGGCAGACGGGTCGAAACTGTGGACCGGGGGTCTCGATAACACAGTGCGTTCCTGGGACCTCCGAGAAGGCAGACAGCTTCAGCAACACGACTTCACCTCGCAGATATTCTCTCTTGGATACTGTCCGACCGGGGAGTGGTTGGCTGTGGGTATGGAGAACTCGAATGTGGAAGTGCTTCACGCGACGAAACCGGACAAATATCAGCTTCATTTGCACGAGTCGTGCGTACTTTCGTTACGTTTCGCTACGTGCGGCAAGTGGTTCGTCTCGACCGGCAAGGACAATTTACTCAACGCGTGGCGCACTCCATATGGAGCCTCGATATTCCAGGTAACCATTCGTTTTTTAGTACAATTCGACGTACAGTAGCTTGGTATATCGTCATGAAGGGAGGTAAAGTTGACAAAAGGAGCTACTCGCCACAAGATGAGCCCTAAGAAGCGAGTCCACATTCCTTGTTTTTCGATCTGGCTAATAATGGTTGCTGTAACCAATTGTTCACTTTAACCATATATGTCAATCTTTTTTAAGAATATACGCGTAATGGCAATATAGCGAGTCTACTGTACATGGTCGTTCGTTTTTACTCGAAATAGATCGTTGCAAATAGATAATTAACAATAGGATTCTGTAATGTTTCAGTCAAAGGAATCCTCGTCGGTGCTCAGTTGTGATATTTCTACCGATGACAAGTACATAGTGACCGGATCTGGTGATAAGAAGGCTACCGTGTACGAAGTGATATACTGAACTGTCTGTTGGACCAGATACAATCGAAACACCGGATGTTGTCGAACGTGTCACGTTTCTGAAGTTATCGTCCATGTAAGAAGATAGAGACGAACTTCGATTTATACGAGCAAAAGAAGATGTGTTCTAAACATGTGAATATGTTCCAAAAAAAAAAACTTCAAAAATTGAAGATTGTAGAAAATTGAATTATATCCTGAAGAAACGGTCTTTTTGTGAATCGAGTGATATCCCGTGAACGTGTGTTATATTTGTTAAATTTGGAGTACCCGTAAACAGCTTACGCGTTGCACAAGAAACGAAGAGGAAAGCTGTGAAGAACTGAAGTTACATTATATAGATATATATATAAAGGTGGCAGAATGTTTTTGCTATTTAAGGTTGTATAGAACGCATGGTTATAAATAGGCCTGAAATGACGACGAATGAGAGATTAGGCGTGATAGGGTTTGCTCGCGTGATTACGTGATCTTTTATTATCGTTTGACTTCGAGCAGGAAGTCGCTTGTGTAATATGTTACTAATGTAATATAGAATTTTACGATAAAGTATCATAATTGCGACCGTGAAGGATGCAAGGCGAAATGTTATCGGTACATTACCGCGCGTGATGTCCTCGTGTTTTACTATCGACGACGAACGAACGAACGGACGAACAGATGCCTGAAAAAATTTGTACGGAAGCACCACGAAATAGAGCGTAGACCCGTCTGAAGTAGGATTGTGTCTCGTGTTGTAAGATTCTACGTAATATATCGAACGCGACACGTAGGGAACGAGCGTTTATCGCGGATAGCAGAACCGTAGATCTACGAACCGATGTAATTTTGATCGTGCTAAGATGTATAAAGGAAGCTGAGACATTGCGTGATCCTTGATATTTCGATTAAGAAGAGTATAAAGATTTCCCATCGACCCTCTCACCTCTCTGAACAAAAATTTGTATCCGTATAGAGCGTTTAGTTCGGATTCTGTTCTTTCGTTGCTCTAGTTTGGTACTGCAGCGTAAATTGACAGATCGGTAACTGTGAAAAATTGTGAAAGGCACGGAAGGATAAAGCAACAACAATACATTCGATCTCGGCATTTTCTGTAACACGTGTAACGGACAATAGATTTCGAAGCTTTTCCCGTCATCTTGTATCTCTAACAGGGTACAAGTATACTTGGGTGCAAGCTCCCTTCGGATGCGTAATACGGGGGTGAGGAGTCCAACGATTTTTTGGGGATTGAAATAGGTAAACTTGGAATTTCTTAATTTTTAAATTTCTAAATTTCCAAATCTAATTCCCAAATCGCCGAACTTCAGAATCCCCGAATTTTACACTTTCAAAATTTGCATATCTTCGAGTTTCCAAATTTTCAACTTTTCAAATAAACTTGAAAGTTTGTAAATCTGAAAACGTACCAACCGAAACCACCGAGGACCCCTTTCCCCTATATCGGCATTTTCCGCAGGGGAGCCGCACTTGCCATTGTATGTACATCGAATCCCCTTTTTAAACTGGTGTCAAGTTTCCACGATTGTCGATAGTGTTTCGAACACACTTTTTTTATCCACGTACCCTTTGTTGCTGGCTTCGGTGAATCGGTTCGTTTCTTTTATTCAAACGAATTCAGTTCGCATAATGTACCGATTGCGAAGAGAAAAAGTTTCGCAAGATGTCCACCCGGTAACGAGATTCAGACGGAGATAAAACTTAGAGAATCGTGAACTCTGTAGACACCGCGTATCCGCGAGATGTTCGACGAGAATATTTTTGTGACTGTCCACACGATGACATTTAGGATTTAATTTTAGCAAGTCAATCGACGAGATCGGTGATTGTATTTGTATCGCAACCGGAACAAATTGAAGTGTAATAGTACACGCGGTAACGATTTCTTCGATGCCTGCGAGACGGCGTATAATTAAAAAAAGAATTAGGGTATCACTACTAGGTAGCGCGTTATTATTCGGATCTTGAACGGTGAAAGCAGGGGATGCATAATGGAGATTTATATTTTGTTACAGGAAAGACACACGTTTTACATTCGCTGTGATCGTCGTAGAATCGACGCTGTATACTGCCTCGTTCAAACGTAATAGAAACTTAATCCAAAAAAATTAACGAAAAAATGGAAATAGTCGAAAGAGAAAACAAACTGAGAAAACAGAATAAGATTTTCGACGAGCACAGCTCCGACGATAGACCAATAGAAACAACGATACCTCAAGAAGACTCAATAGTTAATTATCTCTTTAACTTGTACAGAATCGATATTCTTTTACAGTGAATGGTACACATGCCCACGCATACACACAAACGCACCGGAAAGACATCGACAAAATGTGAAAATCTACACAGCAGCGAAATATCGTGATTCAACATCCGGCACCATGAGTTAACCGTTTATTGTCTCGCTCGTTCATTCAATTGTGTCTCCGTGCTCGCAATTTTGCACTCCGTGTGTACGAAAGTAAAAAAAGTAAATACTTATGCGTTTCCAGTCAGAACAAGATGACAAACAAAAATTAAGAAAACGAAAAGACAAGCGTTAATCCTTTCCAAGCACAGTTCATGTTGTTCCTATAGCTACGCGAAAATTGTTTCTTTTGACAATTAAATCATCTATATCTATATAAATATAGTGTTTTATTAACCCATCTATATCCTCAAGTTTATCTCCTGTTTCTTCTTATAATACTTACTGTAACATGTAAGAGCATATGTAATTTTCTTCTCTACCTGTATAAATTGTGAAGTGAATTAATAATTATTTTGTAAAATAAGAATGATGATTTTTAGAATTTTCTGACTGTACAGAAATGTAATATAAATCCATCAGGTAAAAAAATTTATACTTGAATGTTGTCAAAGTATAATATTCACTTTTTCAGTCCACACCTATCCCGACCCACGCATCAAGTAATTATAGAAATTGCTATAAATGATTCTAGCAGCCTGGGAGAATACTTGCAAAAAACTAATTTTATTTTCGTCTCCCACGTTGGTCGTTTCAAAAATACCGCCACAGTTGGATAGTGTCGCCATCGTACAGATAATTACCCGAACCGATAACTACACTAACCTGCACGAATTTGGCGGAACGCATCAATATGGCCACCAGTAGCTGGTTCGCGTACCTGCCCGCTAATTATTTAAGTAATTTTGTCGAACGTGCGAGTGTACATTGAAATAAACACTTCGGCAAAATGAACATGTCAGTGGAGAAGAAGAAGTACCCGTCGGCGCTGCCAACAAATTGGCCGACCAGGGAGGAGACGTCGAGAAAAAGCCAAAACCAGTTGTCATCTACGGGAAAGGTTGACGTTTATTACTACAGGTACGTCTCGCGTTTTCAAATTTTTCATCGACGCGTCGACATTACACATTGAATGTACTTTATGTGTAGGAATTGAAAAAGCTTGCAATGAATACCACATTGATCGTAACCGGTGCAGGCACATTTAATGGCATTGATTCTAACCTCCAGCATTGTATGTTTATGGCCATTGCTCCGAGCATTTTCTTTTTTTAGTCGCGGAGTAAGAAACGACGCATCGTTAGTGCCGCCGATAAGACAAACGGCATCCATATTTAAACAACCGGTGACCATTTACAAGACGCAAGAAGGGAAGGTGAAAGACATCAAACATGGGAATCAAGAGAAACCAAAGCAGGTTTGTCTTTGTTACTTGATTGAAAATTCTGTATATATATATTTATCGAATTATGAAACTTGAAATTAATATTGTTAACTTTATTTAGCGGTTAAAGTATGTTTAAATGATCAAGTTTGAAGTTACTTGTTATATTTGTGTTCTTATTTATTATTAACATTTTATGAAGTATAAGTTCTGTTATCACTTAATTAATCACATCATAACCCTGTCCGTATGTACTTGTAATGATTAAAAATTTGATGCTGTTGTAATTAAAGTATAAAATCATGAGGATGTGTTATTTGATTTATTATGTCACTTAATGTTGACCCCTGTAAGTTCTTGTTGTTCAATCATCAAATCATTCATTTAGGAAGGAGCCGATAAAACTGATGGCAAATATGGCTCCCAAGATAAGCCTAAGCAGGTAACATTGTTCGATGTGCTTATGGAAAAGTATTTGATTGTGTTTCTTTTATCTGTGAATTTTCAATGTTTTGTACCGAATGTTTTATGATAGCAAACAATTTAGACCTTTTAAAAATAATCAGTAGTGCATGTTTAATTAAGATGAACAATAAACATAAATCAGTAGTGCAATGTATTGTATAGACTGTTCTGTACTGTTTTTAAGTTTTCTTCTATGAACTGACCTTTATTAATTATTAATCCTAAATATAATGCATACATCTTTAAGAAATTCATGTTTAACCATATATAATAATTATATTCATACTATGAAGCAAATGTATTTTGCTTTCGCAATTGAACTATTCTTATGAAGATGTTAGCAGTTTATATACATAATTGTATTGTTTTAATACAACATTTTGCCTTAATATTATATACAACTGTTCTTTTTAATCTTTCAGTTATTTTGGGAGAAACGTTTGGAAGGTTTAAGGGCATGCGATCCAGATGGATTTGAATTTGATGCAATGGATTTACCAAAAAGTTTAAAACCTGTAGGGCCATATATAACAGAAGAAACATTGCTTCAAAGCGTTGCTACAGCGCTACATGTTTCGTCTCAGCCTGTTACAGGACAAACGGGTTCAAAAACAGCTTTAGAGAAGAATCCCGGGGTATTTCTTAATCCTGATCAACCCCTCGTACAGGTAGAATAGATATTTAGATACCAAATAGGGTGCTATCTTACAATCAATACGTCTTATGTGTTATATATTTGAATATGTGTCAAACACCCTATTACGGAATGTAAATAATTATGTACTGGAGGTTTGAAAAGGCATATTGACAGAAGTATAGAGACGATTTTAACTGTATTAACAAAATAGAATTTTATCACTGTAATTAATGCGCGAATTGTCGCTTGTTTCAGGCGGTCTCGATAGTTGACGAAGATATCAAAAGGCAAGAAGATCGAGTCGCCCTCGCCAGGAAAAAGCTACAAGAAGCTTTACGAACAATTCCTACCTAAGTTGTACAATTACCTTAGCTATATTTTAATTCGCTCATCCCTAGTCCTAAGTTCGTTATAAGTTATGTCGTACAAGTTTTTATAATAAATGTTTTGTAAAGAAATAAGTGTAAACGCTACGCAACTTGCAATGCAAGTTTTTACAGTGCTAGTTTGTAATATTTGTACAAATTATTTACACTTTACTGAATCCATCTATTTAATTGTAAAATATTTTAAAAAGTGATTGCTCAATAGATAGTCAATCGACAGTATACTACAACAAACGAGGTTTTCTTTTACACCGTAATGAACACCAATTTGGGGAAAGATGAAAAATGATTTAGAGGAAGCAAAATTTAATTCTTACAATTCTCCGCTAGATGGCAGCATTTTCAACCTTTTTAAAGATTAATTATTTAAATATTTATCTTTAAGTTACTACGTATTAACGTCGTAAATGATTAATTATTTAACAAAATGTGTTGACTTAAATGCAAATGATTATAAAATAAAGCGCATATAAGATGAGTAGGTATTTATAAATTATAAAGTTGCAAATAATGGAATTAGCCGAGTCGGATTAACTTACAAAAATTTATACTTTTTATTTGCGAGGATTAGAATACAAAAGCTGGAGTATAATTTTATACAATGAAGCGAAACAATATTTGACATTGAAATCTGACTGTTAGTTGTTTACTGTTTACAATAATATTGTTTCATTTCTAATCAGAGTAGAAGAAAAAGTTGACCAGCATCTTGTGGACTATAAATTTATACTTCAAAAGCGTTTATGAGTAGTTCGAAGTTTAAAAGTCCGGAAAAGCTCGTATCGACAGATGAATCACCGAAACCGAGGTGATTTAACTTGAACGCATCAAAGTAGGATTTTCGAATAATTCATGTGGGTCAATGATGCAGCAATTTTATTCGAGAATCCCACGGGACGCGACAGTCAATGACATTGCTATCTCGAAAACAAAAACCGCGACACGTATCAAGGACAGGCCACGGGTCGGAACATTCCCAAAATGTCTTTCTCAACGCACGAGGCGACGGTAGCTTTGTGGCGTGCAGTTTTGTAGGATGTCGTAGCGTCTTGTCTTGGAATGGGTGCGTGCTCCTGGTACCGCATAAAAGAGTACACGGCCAGGTATACGGACGTCGGTTTTCAGGTAAGCACAAGCCAGGTATGCCAGGTGGTAACCTCTTTTTTTCGCTCTGTCTGCCCTCTCCTCTACCATTCTCCGAATCCCGACCTCCGTCCTTTTCTCATCATCGCTGAACAGCTGTTTCCCTGTTCGCGAAGGGTCGTTCTCCCTTATTGCTAACTGATCAGAGAAAGAGGTAGGAAGAGAGCGAGACAGAGAGACGTCGTAGCCCTCACAACGCAAACACATGTCCCACTTTAAATCGTTATAATTCGTTGAAGACGTTTGTAGATCCTGTCTAATCGGGCTTTCGTGTGTCTTCGCTGGTACGTGTGTGCGTGCCACCGACGAAGGAAGTCTGATCGAGGATGTGACCCGAATATTCAGCGCACATTGTCAAGGATAAATTCGGTATATTCAAGTATTCATATTTAAAAAGAGGATACAGTAGACTATCGTTATATCGTCACAAAGCTGTAACAACGAAACGTGACGATATACGAAGAGGTCGAGAAATCTTCCGCACGTTGACCCAATAAGCAAGCATGTTCGACGTATTTAATTCAATCGTGTTTTAACGGAAAGAAACAAAGAGTATTGTAAACATTCTATATTTGTTTAACGATAGGTTCGTTCATAACAACTTGTTTATAACATTTTAGTTTTTTATCAGTACAATAACTTTTGATCCGGACACACCTTGTACATAGACACTAATTGCATAGTTCGTTGAAACTTAAACGTATTACAGCCCGATCGAGTAATCCACAAGTTATAAACGCGGCAAACCAGATAACAAGGCGAGAACAATCGAATACATTAAATTATATTCATTGCCCACACGTAGCCGCAACGGGTTACTGATAAAACTTAATCCCTGCTTAAACGCTGTTGCGGTTGATAGAATTATACGTGTTCGTGGTTGAACACCGGAGAACTTGTAATCCGAAACGAAAAGACCTACGCCGAGACGTTTTGTTTCACCCCTCGCGGAATTCCACGTTAGAATTTAAACTACAAGCTTCTAAGCCGATCGAGTTCTTTGACATTAGATTTAGTTGTCTTTGTGACGTAACACGTGTCAACGCGAATACCGCTTTAAAAAATTAAATCCGCTAATAGGTTTTCTTTGTATTAGTGAAACCGAGAGATTTATTAGCGCAAAAGGTTCAGGATTGAATTAAAGGTAGGGTTAAAGCCTCAGGATCTACACTTTAACTATTTCGGAATTATTTTTCTACTATTAAGTTATTCAGAGCTCTTTCAGACTTCACAAAATCTTAATTCGGCCCTGACTAGGTTTTTAATTGACCAGAAAAACTTGTCCTTTAAAAATTTTCTCATTTCAGAATTTTGTAATTTTTCACATTGAATAATTTGACATTTCTATATTTTTAAATTTTGGTA